TCATTGACAACAGCTCTTGTAATGGTCCTTGAATCTTCAGTGATATAATACAACCCTCCAACACTTCTCTGCTTCATTCACTGCCGAGTGGATTTTGCTCTTGGCCAGCTTTTGGTTACTATTGGCAACTGGGGAGCATCAAACCGCCTCGCCATGGATGGATTGTATATTTTATATTAATTTATTCAAATTAAGATAATGAAGGCATTTCATGAAAACAAAAGAAAATATGTAAAAATGAATTGGGAGATGGATTGGTAGATTCTTTTGATGGATGTGTTGTTTAACAACGGCACATGCAAAGTGCTGCATTGATGATGTCTAACTGCACTCACCACTCTGAGTTTTGTGACAGGTTAAACACACTGATCTGTACTGGAGAGGAAAACATTTCCTTTTTTTTTGTAATTGCATGTTCTTGACACACCTGTGGCTTTTGGACTTTGCGTCCAAGCAGTTAACATACAACATTGTGTCTTCACTCCAGAAAAAAACATTAATTTGTTCATTTTTTAAGCTATTTATATGTTAGTTTCCGTGGATGATTTGCCAGTATTTCTACACATACATGTTTACAAGATCCATCATTTAGTGATGCAACATATGTATTTGAATGCCTGTTTGTTGGCACCTTTTCCTCCACATTTCCACACCAGGGAGAAGGAAGTCAATGGAAAGAGAGCGCTTTTAAGGTCAATGTATAGCTAATTTATTTTCTGACAAATACCACCAAAGGGGGTTGGAATGTAAGATGACTACACAGAGTGGGAGGGTTATCCATCACAGTCACATTGTATGGTACATTCAAAGCCACTGCCCTCCCAAAGCTCACATTAACCCATCGATTCATCTCCATGATGGATAAGCAGCTGCAAAGGGAACACTTATGGCACCTCATAATGCTATATTGGTGTTTGTATTTCAGTGCAGCCGTGCGACGGACCATTGATAGTTTTTTTCCTCTTCTTCATCTTTCATCCTCTTTCCTTTCATTCTTCCCATTTTCCATTATGTACTGCTGCTCACATTTCTCGCTGTTTATAGCTCCTCCATCATGATATGATACATTTCATATGTTCGGTTTGATCCTGTGAGGGTGTAATAAAGAGAATTCATGGGAGCAAATGAAAAGCAGGCCTGGGTAGACAGCTCTTTTTACAAGCGATGCTGTCCAAAAGTCAATACATTGGTCGCTATAGGGGCCAAAAGGAAACCGCTCAGAAAGGCCATTGATATTGAATGACATATTGACGTATAGCTGTTGGATGTGAGGTCCATTGGTATTCTGACTGCAGGGAATCTCTTCTTTAAATCATGATGCTCCAGTGACATCACAGGTGACAGCGATGACTCAGAGGTGTCTCCCACCCAGTGACAGAGACTCCAGGGATACCCTTCCCCCACCTTCGGCGAGACAAGAAGCATCATGGGTAATATGACTCAGTCCGGCTTGCAGTGCATGTGCAATGGAGCAGAACGCCACGCTGAATTGTTGGTGAATTGACGCAGGAGCAAAATGTGCTGAGCTGTGACTAAATAGTGGGGAGTGTTGGTCCCCAAACGATGGACTGCAAATTAGATAAACTGATGCAAAGATGACACTGCTGCTCCACTTCATTTTCAGTTTGAGTTGAAACCACAGAGGTGGAGGAAACGGAGAGCGATGTTGAGTAGGAGAAACAATGAATCATACAATATGCCGTCCCCTCTTCTCTACACAGCAGCAAACAGTGCTATCAAAATGGAAATGCATGCATACTCAAGTTGTGAAGTGGCAGCCTCTCAAAATTCATCTGTTTCAGCCTTTGCCACACTGCCATATGTTTTTTCATCTACGTATATATTTGTGCAGCTTTGTTTCCTTATTTCTGTCCTTTGACTTTAATGCTTGCTTTGTCTGTATTTCATTTATTCTGCATCTGATTTTACTCGTTTCTGCTTTTCAAATATGATATTTTCAAATTTGATATTTCAAATATCATATTTAAGTAATAGTATAGGATTTCCTTACTTACTGCACTTTCTAAATTGGGTGGAAGTAAGTTCATTTATAGACATTGCAAACTCCCTGAATGTCTGACAACAGTGGGCCCACCTTTGCGGGGCTGCTCTGTGTGTATGTGTATGTTGGAACTACCTTACATATTGCTTAAAATCCTTGAACAAGTGTTTGATAAGGATTCTGTTTTACTGTTCTTTTCCTAGCCTGAACTGAAAATCTGAACCGCATCTAAAGTAGATTAAATATAGTTGATGCATCAAGCAAACTGTTTTGTTAATCCAGTGGATTACTTTGTTGATGCAACACGGGAGCCAGGAATTGACTCCATTTAAAGACAAAAACATCCCAGCATTAAAGCAAAACACTAAATATAACCTATCTACAGTGCAGATCAATGCAGCATGCACAGGGTCATGGACATGGTCTGTTCAGCTACAGTAAATGTAATCTTAATACATTTCATTTCAGTAATGTTCTGGGTGTGTCAGGCCACAACATTGCTTTCAGACCTTTATTAAAAATTCCTTCTTATGCTCAATGAGCTCATGTCTGCAGTGCAAGGATCATTGCCATCAGTGGGGCTGCCGCACGGAACAAATTAATTAGCTGTACAATGGTGGAGCAAAGGCAATTATCAAATCTCTGCTGACTGACTGTGGCAGGAGAAGATGGCAGTGTATGATTCAAAATTGCCTCTGTGCCATATAGAGATGATGAACAAATAGCGTTATTGTACTTCAAACATCTGTGGAATGATCATTTGTCACAGAAGTGTCTGACAGCGCAGCGAGGCTGCAGATGGACTGGGAGGGGAACATTGATTGGTAATAAATAAAGAGAAAGGGAGAGAGGCTAATAGTTTTACACAATTCTCCATTGTTGCATAAGTATAATCTTGTTGATTTTTTTTGGTCAAAACTGCGTTTTGCAGTAACAGCTCCCGATGCATGACAGAGTCTGCTGATTATAATCTTATGCCTGCAATGGGTGCGCTGTCAAGCAAATGCCGCATGTTGAGGCTTGAGTTTGTATCTCTGGTATTTGGGCTGGGCAAGCACAAGTTCTTAATAGAAAAACAACTCTGAGACCAAGTTCAGCGCAAATAAGCTACGGTAACGCATCGTCGTGTTATTGAATTTCACTGAGAGATGGATGAAGCCATTGTAAAGGTCAATGTAAACATTCAATGTCAAGTACATGAGCAGGAGGGAAAAAAAGCAGCAGAACACTTGCATCAATAATATGCCTCATAAAGGACTGCTATCAGTGGAAAAAAAATAATCACTGAACTAGACTGGACAAGAGCATTGGGGTAGTGCCGGAGTATGAATGGGCAAGAATTTTCCAATCCATTGGTTTTCCATTTTAAGATCATACTTGATTTGTCAGACTAGTGAACCGATGTCTTACGTTCAAGCTCAGTTATTCTCCCTCCAGCAGAAAACGTCTTGACTCAGCAGAAGATCAATAGTGATGCAGTCAGAATTCATAATGACAAAAAACCCTTTTCCACTATTCAGTATACAGTTTCCTTTTTCCTTTTTTTCCTTTGAAATACACTCTTCCATAACTGATGGTGGAATGATGTATACAGTAACACGCAGCATATTCTATCATGCTTCAAATCTAACCATGTGGATTAGAAGCAAACATAGACTTGGAGGCTACGTCACATGAACACGTCTTCTGCAGAGACACCATTCAGGACTAGATTTTTGTATGCCGATTTTCTCGAAATATCTGAAAATATGGGGACAACGTGCCATTTTGTTGGCTGACATATAAATCAGACTTTTCTTCTTCCCTTTTCCCTTTCTCTTGGTTCAAAGAGGATAACAGCAGGGGGTGCCAGATATCGGAGGGCAGCTCTTTCATTACAGCCTTTTCATCAGGCGTTGCCCTTTCCTTGTAGTGATACTGTTGTGCAATCTATACTAGACTTTAACTATAACTTCAAAGTGTAGCTCTGCTAGTTCACAGCATAGATGTATTCGCTGAATCCCTGAAGGTGCTAGACTCAATGTTATAAGCACGAATAAAGGCAAACGCTGCTTCAAAGATGTTTAAAAGTAGCATTTTGATCAACTACACATACTCAACGTCTCCTTTAAGAGTAAAGGCATACAATTGAATTATATGGAGGTAATCATTGAACTTAGTAGGAACTTTGAACCCCAAAGCCAGCAATTGCTTGGCGTATCGTGCTTATGGAGAATAAACAACAATGAGTTTAATGGAAAGGTTGTTCCCCAAGGAACCATAAAGTGAATAACCACAAAAACACAATATTATGAATAGTTCTCTCTTTTGTTATAAACTGCATCTGCGTATGTGTGTTATGGGTAAATTATAAATGAATAATTCCTCCAGTAGCATGCTTTTGATATAATCATTAATACTTTAAATAATTCAGCAAGCCAGAATGTTCTCATGCTGTAAAAACATTGAACATTAATACAATATTGATAAAGTTAAAGCAGTGTATATAAATGTTTTTTTGGAGCCCAGAAGTCAACACAGTTCAAAGGATAAAATAGGAAACATTTCCCAGAAAAGCTCCCAGGAGAGCAGTATAACCAGACTTGGAAAAGAGGATTAGGTCTGCTGGTCTTGAGAACAACTTATTTATCCCCTTAAGTCTTGTGACATTTCATGCACTTTAAAGGAAACTAAAAAAAGTTGCATCATAACTTGTTTGTATTTTTCTTGAAGGGGATCAAAATTGTGCAGAGTACCTTTTATTTTAATAAGTATTAGTTGCACTAGAGTGCAATCATATGCAGACCTTTCTGTCTACATTTCTGTCTTCGCCGTGCGCATGACGGGATTGTGCATGAAAGTAAAACTATGAGGAAAGTTGTGAAGCCTTAAAGCTGCAGCACCTTTCTTTTTCCTCCAGGTAAGGGGGGGTAGGTGGGAGGGGTCCTTGCTCCTGGTCGAGCCTGACGGATCCACTATTGGCTGATAGCAGGGGGACTCTCACCTGTGCCTGTGTGAAGGTGTGCCATTCGTCATCGTCCGATTCCAAATCAGGATCAACTTTTTCTTCCTCGAGCAGCCCATTGAGGTAGAAGTCAGCCAGGAAGGCTTGGATCTCAACGAGCGACTGCAGCAGGACTCCGAGCATGGAGCCTATCACGTCGTGGAGCGAGGAGAGAGTCGGCGAGTGGCTCCAAGGTGAGGCACATATTGCGGGAGGTTCTGTTTTTGTTCTCGCCTTAATCGCTTCACGGCTATTTTGGGTCGGACGGTCAGAAATAGAGGCGTCACGCAAATCCCCTTGGAAGTGAAAGGTGGAGGTGGAATGAGGAAATGGCCCGTGCTGAGTGAGAGAAGCCACAAATGTGTCGTTCTGATCGGTGTCAACAACTCAGGTGGTAGGCTATTATCAGAAAGAGTCTTACGACTTCTAGATGTTGCGTTCACTGGTCTCTGGATTAATGCTCTTTTATGCCGTTTTATAGGGGACATTACTATTATTATTACTAGAAATATCGGCCTACTGTAAAAGTTAGCGATCAGTGCTGGAAAGTAACTAAGTACATTTACTCAATTTAAGTACAGTTTTGAGGAATTTGAGTAAATCAATTTCATACTACCTTATACTCTTACTCTAGCTTTCAGAGGGAAATATTTTACTTTGTATCCACTACCTTTATTCAACAGCAATCATAACTTGTTAATGTGCAGATTAAGATTTCGCTTGCAAAACACATGATCAGTGTATGAAATATGATGCATGGTCTCAGAATATATTATTAAATAGTTAATGTTAGTTCCACTCGGACCAACTACAACATTAAAGCACCACTTACATAGTAATACATCAATAATGATGATCCAATAATATAACTGACAGGGGCCATTCAACATAACCAGTACTTTTACTTTTGATACTTTAAGTTCATTCTGTTGCTACTACTTTTCTTTAAGTAAAATGTTGAATGTAGGATTAGTACTGTACAAGGAGTATTACTTAAGAAAATAATTTGAATACTCCTCCAACTATTACATGTAATAACAACTTGTATTTTGAAGTGGTCATCACTTTAAACACTTGCACAGTTAAGAAAAATTGCATTCATATTATGATATCATCAATGATATCATCATCGCATAGTATATTAACAATTTTACTACAAAGTAAATTCTATAAGTCACTTGTGTTTCACAGACACATCTTTACTGTTTTCAAACGTAGTTGTACAACATGTGGAGCAGAAGTCTTTCTGCATGCTGGTATTCTGCCTCTGTTAGTCTGCATGTCTGTACCTGTACTCACATGTGACTTTATGACTATGTGTGAGTTGCCATTTATACTTGTGCACTGCATGTAGTTAAAGCCCTGAGTGTATGTGCTTTTGTGTCTTGCTGCCAGGTCTGGATGGCCCCCTGCATCAGTACCCGATCTCTGAGTGGCAGTTGTCGGGTCTGGATCTGCTCCAGCTGACATCACAAGACCTGGAAAAGTTGGGAGTACAAAAGATTGGACACCAAGAGCTCATACTGGATGCTGTGGAGAAACTCTGCTCTCTGGTGAGGGACGATGCGGAGACAAGTGTGTTTGTGTACAGTATGTGTCCGCACTCTGTGTATCCAAGGCTGTTTGCTGTGTGTGTTGTTGTGCACTGGATATTTGATATGCAGTCATCTTCTTCTCTTGCTGTGGTGTCATCTATGTTCTGATATTAGAGCACTGAGGTGTAATTGTTTTTCCACCATTACACAGTTTTTAGACCCAGCTCTTGTTTGCACAGTGCAACCAGCAGTTGTTGGACAATCTTTTGCAATTCCAGCCAAAATACACAACTGCTTTTATTGCCATAAAAGTCCCGCTTCACACTCAGAGCCCATAGCAACTTGCAGCAGGTTTGAGTTCATTGCTTCACTTTGCCCTTCACGTTTAAATAAAAGTCCCCCTAGTAAAGTATTATCATAGTGAAATAGTTACTTTATTTTTATAGCTAACATCAAAGGACCTGTCATGCTCCAATGCAACCAAAGCAGAATACAAAGCTTGCACCTAATAATTTACATGCAAATTTCAGGGAAAGTTGTTTGTTTGCTAAAAAGATAACACTTCCGCTCCCCTTGGATTCTCTATCCTGTTTTTTCTGCTGCTAAATTAATTTTACTCCCTGTCCAATTTTGAGAGGGAGTTTTAGAACACTTAAATATTCTTGTTGGTGTGTGTGTGGGGGGGTTGTTGGTGTGTTTCCAGAATGGCTTGTGTGTCATTGGAGGGACTGATTGGGCAGGACGGTATCAGGCAAAGTTCCAGCTCTGGTGCTGTAACAGGCTGAAGCACAGGCTGCTTAAACTGCATGTTGTCGAATTGTTTAAGTAACTGTTTTACAGATTGAAATCGTCCTTAACAGTTTAACACAAGTCATTATGAATGAGTGTGTGAATAATGTCTCACTGTAGGAAAAGCTTCACATAAGTGAAATTGTTTAACATAAGACAAGATTAAATCCTATACACACAGCTGTACAGCTTAAATAATGAGTACATTGTGTATATGTGTGTGTGTGTGTGTGTGTGTGTGTGCCACTCTTCCTGTCTTAATGCTCTGTGAAGCGCGAACACTGCACTCATTCATAATGGCAACCATCACATGCTCACATGGAGCAGACCAAACACATTCAAGTACACGATTACATAATTAACAATGTCAGCGAGGCCATGAATTATGTATGGACACTTGATGATGGAGGATTGTTCCGGCCGGTGGGTGTGTAACAACAAAGCATGACCGGTCCAAACCTCTTGAACATCAATGATGGGTCACGACAATAACTTGCTTCTTCTTCAGTGGTTGTCAAGAGTCGCGTCTCCCCCTATTGGGCGGAAAACTGTGATGACGGGCCTCATATGCCCGTCATCATATTTATTTTATCCCTTGCTGCAGTTTGATGTTATAGCTTTGGTTAATATATATGGTATTATTATACTGAGAATTAGTCTATCCTTATTGAAACAGGGTGGACAAAATATTAGAAACTCACTCAAAGCAACAATACCGCAGCCTTTTTTTGGATTTTGAGCTAAAAAATCCACGATATGATGACATGATAGGTATACATACTGTTTCTAATGCGGTATATTTCCCTTTAATATCTTTGGGTGTATGAGGCTATTGTGGACAGTGGTTGTACCTTGATTCATCAGATATTGGCTGATTCTTTTTCTGTAATGCAGCTAGATACATTTTCACATATCACCGACCAGCAATTACTTATTTCAACATTTTTATACATTCCTCAAAAAGGAATAAATTCCTCTCAGAGGAGGTAACAACACTTAAGTAGTCCAGAAGGCTTTACATCAACAGGTACTGTAAGGAGCACGACTTTCACTCAGCTTTCACTCTGTATTAAGAAGAATAAAGTGCTGTCTTTCTCTTAGTTCAATATGTATTTCAACTAGTATCACGATTGCTTCTTCACCCGCTTGCAAAACCCATAGTTGAAATGGCATTCTGTGATGTGATTTTTAAAGGAGTTTTGGGGCATTTCATGACTATATTCAGAAGTGGATAGTAGAGAGGTTACAGGAAACAAGGGGAGAGAGAGAGAGAGAGAAAGAAAGGAGGATTGACGTACGGTATAGGCCTCCAGCCGGAATAAATACAAGGATGTTGCTATCACAATAAATGAAATGTGTCTTAAATTATAGACCCCTGCATTCTGTTAAGTGTTGGAAGAGGGGACGTAATGCATTAAACATCACAGATTATGTATTACAGTGTGGGGGTTTTTGGAAAACATCTTTAAATCAGTCTTGTGTGTTTGGTTTGTGTGTGTCTGTGCTCTCCAGACATATGGTATAGGTGGGGAGAGCCTACGCGGTCTGACAGAGAACTTGCGTGCCGTTGCCCACACCCTCCAGATGGGCATCCAGGGCCGCTGGCGCCTCAACACCTATGATGGACGCAGCACCACCAAGCTGCCTGCTGCCATTCTGCAGATTGTAGTGGAGCTCCTCACCTCTGCCAAAGGACTCTTCTCTTTGCTCAACAGGTTTGTAAAGAGGGAGTTATCTAACCGTTATATATACAGTACTCCAAATTCTATTTTATTCTGCAGCTATTTTTTACTCCGAAAATGTTCTCGGCTGTGTCTTATAAAATGTTGTTTTTGTTGCTGTAGGTTTTATGTAAAAAGGATGGCTGTGGGTTAAATCAATCAGAGGTGAAGCCTTTATATGCTAATGTTTTGGTGTATGCGTTGTATTTCTACCTGTTGCCCCTTGTTAAAAAAAAACGATACCGATTCCCTAAAAGTTCCCCCCCTGTTTGTTTTCTTTTGTTCTCTCTTTGTGTTACTTTTTAAGATCCTACATTCAGCTTTGTTCCTTTTAATTACTAGTGTGAAATCCAATCACTGTACTTACCTAGTAAATCCTCCCAGTCTGTATCCAGACTTACTTGAAATAGTAATCCTTGTTTTGCCAGGTATCAGTTTTCCCAGCTCAGTGGATACACCAACAGCAAGAACATATTCAACTACTGCAGAGAGCTCGGAGACATTGTCCACAAGGTTGGTCCCTTTATGGCTTTAAGTGATGCATACAACTCTTGTGTGACTTGTAATTACATGTATACTGTTATAATTTGTCCATCAAATGGCTGCCTTTCGCAGTGAAATTCCAGTTATCTCTTTTATGCAAATTGAATGGCTGGTTTAGTGCACTTTGCTGCACATATGTTCATGGACACGTGAGGTTGTTTTATCTTAAGAGGAACCACACATTTATAGTCCAAGAGGAACTACAACCTGTTGTGTGATTTCTTCTTTAAAATCAACCCCAAGCAAGAAAAACAGAAGCACAAATAGACTCCCTGATCCTCAGCTTAGCCCGAATAATGAATTCTTTATCTTTACATTCCTAGCATATTTGGAGGCGGCTGTACCTTGAAGAAGCTTAGGTTTGACGCATTGTCAAAGAGGAGGGCTGGATTCTGTTAGTGTTGTCTCCTTCATGGTAGTGGGACATGTGTGAATGAAATGGGAGGAGAAGGAATATTCATGTAAAGAGGGTAAAAAGTGTTTACTAGGTAGTAGAAGGGACAGGCCTGGATATGTTGAAGTGCCTAAGTATGGGAGGGAGGGAGGGAGGGGGTAGGGAAGGGCAGAACAGGAAGCAAAGGGGAAGGCAGAGAAAGAAGGAGGAGACTGAAAGAGAGATTGCACCTTCTGACTCCTGGAGGAGTGCAGGTCTCTGAATTAACAGTAGAGAGCAACAGGCAGAGAGACTCTATTAAAGGACGCTGTAGTGACATTCGTGATAAATATCCACACAGCAGAGAAGAAGACAGAAGAAGATAGAGCTACAGAGGTAGCAACAGAATGGGAGATAATTAGAGAGAGGTAAGGAGGCAGTCAGAGGTAAGGAGGAGCTGTGGGTGAAAGAGGAGGCTCAGTATTTAGAGATTATATATAGCCCTCTACAGCCAGCTTTGGACGCCTGCACAGCACGACAGGTACAGTTCTCACCTCTTTGATTGGATAATTCCCCACCAGGTGATGCTTCTGTTGCTGCTCTTGCACTGCTTCAAAATGGCTCAAGCGTAGCCATGTATGTTATTTGGAATGCTCTGTTTTCTTTAAGGGGTTGCTAATTAATGCAAGAGTTCACTCAGATATCATTTGAAATCTATACCAGCCATACATGGTTGGTTTGAACCAGATCTAGCATGTGATAAATGAGAGTTGTGGTCTCGGTGTTGCTGTACAGTAACAGTAACATTATTGTTGTAGACCAGAGAGGAAGGAAGGAAGTATTGGTTTCAAAGAGCTTGTTGACTCTGATAGGATGTTTTTGTGACTACGAGGTGAATCAGATCTTGGCCTGCTGGCTGTTGTTTTCATTTATTGACAGTTTGCACTTAGTGAGTGATTAGTAAGTTAAAGCCCTCACTGCTTTTGTCGTTGGTCCCTCACAGAGGTTGATCATCGTTTGGTAATGTCTAGCTATTGTTGCTCAATTCCTGTTTTTGAACTTTGGTGCGCACTTCTATATTTGTGTGTGCAGGTGTTTTAAAGGCAAGACTTACTGTTCATAAAGAAGTAGTCTTGTACCAAGAGCATTTTTTGACAAAGAACCTTGTCAGGTGAGCTGAAACGTCACCCTCACAACTGTTCAACTAGACGAGAAAATTACATTTCATATTATGTCAGTTCAACTGTCATCATAGCATTATAAACCATAGACTGTATATAAGAAGTGGACGAAGTCACCCTGACGTCACCCATCGATTTGTGGACTGCCATTTTGAAGCCCCGAGTTTGACATATTTGGCTGTTTTCGTGAACTGAAATCATACTGTGAAAGGGTTAAAGTTCTAAGACTAAAACTCGGACGACTCCCCAAACCAGACAACGCGATGGTAGCAACCTGTCAATGACAAGGTTGCCACGCCTTAAAGCACACTGCTTAATCGTCTATTTTACTCCAAAAAAAAGACCATAGTTTACCAATAAACATAATGCTTTATTGAAGAAGACTTGAAACTCATTTTTTCATAGACATACAATCTATATTATCCTATACAATCTGACTTCGCCCCTTGGTGGGTATTAGAAAGAATGAAAGTTTAGGGTACAGGCTTTGTAGCAGGTTTTGTAAAAGAACACTTGTAGCATATTCTACAATTCTATAACTGTATCAAATAACATAAGTGTCCCGACAGCCGATACCATCAACAGTGTAAGCATTGACCATTGCACACAGACAGACTAGCATAGTCATGGCCTCTTAAAATGTTGAGGCTGATGTCATGCCCTCACTCCCTGTGACGTTTTTGACGCGCTGTCAGGAGGCCGTGGCTTCATCGCGACGTACTTTTCTGGGCTACTGCTTCCCCAGAAGCCGCACCACATCCTTCACACCAAAGAAAGGACTCTTATTTCCTGTGTGTCTGTGTCTGTTCTCGCACCCTGAGGGCGGTCAAGGTCAGTAGTCAGCTGGTGTTTTTTTAGGATCCCACAGTAGAGTTGTCAAGTCAGAGTTTCGCAGTACACACACACGCTCAGTCCGCTTTGAACCAGCCAAGCAGCAAGCGAAGTCCAGGAGAGAGAGACAGGAGAGAGAGAAAAAAGAGGGCTCTCTAAACTGTGAACTTGGATATGAGAGCAAAAATGAATTTGGAAGCATTACACAAAGGTATGTGACTTTAACAGTGAATCTAAAAAAGAAAAGGAAAACTTTCATGTTGCAAAATCTAACTTTTGAAAGCGTCTTTGACATAATAACCATCACCTGAAAATATAACTTCAAGCGATTTAATATTTAACTTACACTTGAATAACTAGGATCTACTGAGACAAATCTTTGAAAAGGGGACATGCTGGTTATGTAATGCTTTTTTTTTGACCGGAAAGATATCATCATAGAAAACAACACATTAAAAGCAGCTCTATTGTTGATCAATACGCAATGATTAACCTCTAATTATATACAGTAATTATGTAAACAATAAGAGCTTTGAATAGATGGGAGAGGATACTGAAGAGAGTGAACTAAAAATGAACCCTATCAATGAAGAAAAAGGCCTCACCTACTTGAGCCATCAGAAGTGAATGACTATAACTTATTATTTATGGTGCTGATAAAAAAAGAGCGAGCAAGAGAAATCCAGCGCTGAGAGCTGTGGTAAAAGGCAAGGAGGAGAACATAGATAGGGAATAAAGATTTAGATGGAAAGATAAGGAGCAGGTGTAACAGAGATCTAACCAAGTGATGTCTCCCAGTCTTTTTATAGCAAGTCTGTGGAAATAGGAAATACCCCCCGGTGCAAGTCGAAGTATGTAAACATACACGCAGAGACAGACACAACTTAACAGGGCTTGACTTGGCAAGGCTTTTAATTTTACAACAACAAAGAATGGAAATCTGTTAAATTGTCTCTAATCAACAGTGTGTGTGTCATTGAATCTGTGTGTGACCGCTTGAGCCTCTTTGTACATGTGTGTCCATGCATGCCAGTGTGTGCATTCTTTTTGCCTTTTTTCAGAGTGTTACACCCACATAATAGCTTGTCTTTGTTTCCTAGACAACTATAGTGAGAGAACAGCTTTCAGGCACAGAGCGCTGCTGCGAAGTTAAGCTCACCGGCCTGATCAAGCCTGATTCTTCTCATAAACGGAGGCAGATGCATATTACTTGTGGACATGTTTACTCTGCATTTCTGTCATGATAAATACATCTAAGTGCAGCAAGTTCTGCTTTAATCGATGGAGAACTAAAAGTGGTTCATCTCTACAGTAACTCTACTGTCTGATGTGACAGTTTATACATCTTGTATTGCAAAACCTGAGGCGCTCCTTTAGAAACAGGAGCAGTTGTTTTCAAGTGAAGTATTTTAGTAAAGCGAAATGAACAGAAGGCAGCGTGAACATGCTCGAGGCTGTCAGAGGCTAAACATGTCCGACCTCTTCTCACGAGTTCATCTCCTTTCCTCTCCTCTTGTGTCTCTGCCTCAGCAATGAAACACTGTGACCTAAATGTACAGGCATCATTTGCGCTTGTCATATGCTTCCAGTCCACGTGTGTGTGCACAGAAATTGTAATTGTATATACACTTTAAAACTCTTGGGAATGTAGCAACCTATATACATACTTTTAGATGTTTTGGGGCACCTTTGTGAAATAGCTTCAATCAAATCAGGGAGTGATTATATTTGCATGCATTTGTGGTTGCAAGCATAATGCTTCAGGGCAGAAGTGTACCTGTCGCCCACTGCACACACATTAATGTCATTTCCTGTTAAAAAGAAATGCAGAACAGGCTGTACTGTTGTCGGGAAGCCCCCAGTGACGTGGCTCCAAATCGAACAGAAAGCAGAGGTTTGGATGTTGCCGTATTTTTACCTTATGTCTAAAATACAATGGTGAGATGCTGGAAAGAAAGAGGTGTTACTAATGAAGCGGAAGCAGAAATGATGGTGTGTGGTAGGAGGTGGCGACCAGATTTAAAACTCAACTAATGTTACCCCTGCTTCCACTGAAGTATCACACTCACAACAGCATCTGGCCAAGTCATAAGTTTCCGTCATGGGTTCAAACCATTATAACAGTGAACCCTTTCTGCATCTAGCTCATCACTGCAGTCTTAGCTTTCTTTGCAGCAGTTAAACAACATTCATTTTTATTTCCCTTAATTCGTAAAGACAGACAGACACACTAGAATATGATGGAGACAATTGCACATTATAGCTGCTAAATTTCAGCGTGTTAGTATAGTCATAGTGAACATGTTAGCATGCTGATGTTAGCATTTAGCTCACAGCATTACTGTGACTGAATACAGCCTGAAGCAGCTTCTAGCATGGCTTTAGGCTCTTTCTTGTGATTGCGTATACGTTTCCAGTGGTAGGCTATTATGCGGCACAAACTCCTCTTAGTGGCTGAAATTAATTCTGACTCTGGGTTGTGCACCAACAAGGATTCCAAGGAACCCAATGAAATCATGGTTTATTTAAAACAAAAAATAATTAAGAAAGATTACATTTAAACCTCTCTTTAAATGCCAATTCAATTTATTTTATTTATTTATTTATTTTTATGCTGTGACTAACTATCTAGCTAATAAACTGACTAAGTTGCTGTTGCATAGAGCCAGTGTGCCATGTGCTACGTTGCTCGAGTAGGGATCAAGACAAAGGATCTGAACAGCTTTAGGTGTTTCCTTTAGTGGTTTGTTGTGGTGTAAATCAATACATCGCATGTCCTGCATCTCACAACTCTCAACGCTCAAACACAACAAACATACTGACCAGCAGTCATGACAGAAACTCACCCAGTCGTACCCCTCCCTGCAGCCTTGTGTCACAGCCTTTAATTAGCCCAGAAACTAAGCGGTGCTCACTGTTGATCCCGAGTCACATTTCAGTGATGGTATGTAGCATTAGGCTATTCAGTTTATATGCTGTATAAACATCATCCTCCTTCATTCAAAGCCTCCCCTCATTTCTCCAGCTCCTAGACCAAGTCCTAGTACTGCCTGTAGGAGCATTATCAACACCTTCCTCCCAACCACAGATTAAACAGTTTAGTTCTACTCATTCTAGTAACTTTGATATTGAACACTGACTTCCTGTGGCGCACCTGTGCTGGTGGGGATTAGTGGGAGCCCTTAGGTTAAGACGAAATTACACTCCACAACATTGATTGCTGAATGTTATTGAGTATGATCTGTTTTATGTTTGTTTGTTTTTCATTTCTACTCGAGCACTGCTGTGATAAATAAACCCGTTAAAAACCATTTAATGTCTGGAGTAGGGCTGCTCAATTTATCCAAATTTAATAATTTTACCATTTTAATATAAGTATTGTCGTGCTGCAGAGATGTCCTGACTTATACATCATATTCTACAGACTTAAGAAAACATCTGTGTTTGGTACAGACCTTTTGTAAAAATTAGGATATGGTGTGAAATAATTACCATTCCCTGTAATATCGCAAATCATATCACAATTGCCATACCTGTCAAAATGATCACAATTAGATATTTTCTTTCAAAATCATTCGGTCCAGCCCGGAGCGATGTCTGTTTGGCATCTGGATGCCTTTGGCCTTTTCGCTTCCTGACTCATGCTGTGAAGAGGAAATAGGACATGAGTTTTGAGTCAGATTGTCCCATTTCCACAAATCAATCACAGCATTGTGAAGGCTGCTGCGGTGTCATTTTGGTGCACTGTTTAGATGGAACTCATATCAAGTTGTTTCACTCATTCAACAGGATACCACTGTCTATGAAAAGGAAAAGGACATCATATCTGTAGTAAGTATTTTCTACTTCACTATAAGACATTTTAGTTTCCTTTTATTTTGTTACCAATTGAATGAGATGTTCTTGACAGTAAACGACGGTTTGTTTCACGCTCTAGTGCCGTCAGTTGGTGTCAGTGTGTGATGAGATCCTGAATTCCAGTCCTGAGGGGCTTCTTACCCACACTGCTCAGCTCGAGAGTGTCGACCTAGTGCCCGTGTTACCTGGTGATCAGCTGGTAAGACCTGCTTGTTCCTAATAACTCTTTGTCTTAATTAAATGTACAACCAATGAAAAGTATATTATTATGCTGAGTAGATGAAAATTGTATTAACTATATTAAATGCAAACACTTTTACTGTCCTATATATTTTCAAAATGTGGTCAGGGGATCTCCAGTTGTCCCACCAAAGGAACGTTTTGTTTAGTTTTACTTCAATGCACTAACAATTATCCATTTGATAATGTATTAAAGGTACAGTTCACACAATTAGTTGAATAATAAATTACTCCATCAACTGTTGGGAACTATTTTTAAATCAACTGATTCATTTTAGAAGCAACAATATATTCCCTCGTGTCAGCTTCTCAACTGGAAAGACTTGCTGACTTTCTTGTCTGACGGTAAAGTAAATCTTTTTTGGGGGGGGGGGGGGGGGTTTGGACTGATAGTCAGACATTACATCAGAAATTGTGATTGCGATTTATTTTACTTTTTCTTTTAAAAAGACAATAATCATTAGATTAATCAATAATGAAAATGGTAATAACTCATTGGTTCACTATTAATATTTCCATATACCGTGTTCAATGGTAATAGTCATACTGTTCATGCAAGGAATTATTTTGAATTAAAAAATTAATAATTTTCTGTCGGCCACTGGCTGCTAAAGCAAAATCTTTTATACGAGTGGTATGAAGATGTTTTAGAACCTGTGATTTCAGCTCTGTTTATCTATTTTTAAACTATTTCTGTTTTTTCTTTACTTGACTGGTCACCCCTGGATGCTTTTTGTTTGTTTGTTCATCTCATCCACGCAGCATCTTACCGTCTCATTATTACTATCACTTTAAAAATCCTCTCACCTTTTTATTGCTTCATCCGTTTTGTTTTTAAATTAACCCCTATAACTGTCTTATTTTCTCTCACTCTATCATTTTCAGTATTCGTTTTCTGCTTTCATCACTACCTGCAGTTTCCCATCATCATTTGGTTCAACTCATCACCTCTTCCATTTCACTCAAGGTTCTCCATGTAGCCAGTTCTATTCTTATTATTCTGTCAAAAACAACCTCTTCTTTTCTTTTACAGCCTTCAGTCGGTACATACGGTACAACTATTATAGATCTCTTCTTTGCCTGTTATCTACTTTTCATTTATTTCTAAATATACATTTGTCCCATTTCTGTGTGTACTCAGCCCAAAAACAAATCTCACATGTAATAGCAGTCCAGTCTCCATGTGCTCACTCACTCGCTCGATTAGCCTTCCTAATCATCTCCAGTGAGATTTTCTAGCTCCACTTCATCACCTCTGATGCTCATCAGGCAAACATGTTTGTTTGTTTCCATGGACACATATTTGCGTGTGTGTAGGTGGCTAAAGATAGAGATTGATTGGAGCACATCAGAGATCAGAATGTCTTTCCTCTAAAGTAATGGGAACTAAAGACAGGAAGAAAGAGAAGTGAGAGGATGGAAGAATTATAATTCACTGAATATAAAAAACACGATGTACATTTGCTTAATTCATCAAATGCATCTAAAAGTGAAAGCTTGCTTTTTCCCCTTTCATGCAAAATCACTTTTAAGCATTTTGAGGTTCACGTTTGAGTTTTTTTAGCTTCTGAAATGCTGATTTAATGCGTCCAACTAGAGCCAGTAAAGCTCAGAAAACCTGGATATTACCTGAAAATGAATTGATAGACTAATATTTATATATAGTATGTTCTTTATTTATGAGGAAATAGTTTCTCAGTGTCTGCTCTTTTCAGTTCAAAGTTTGAATCCCTTTATGTTTCTGTTGCCATGTGAGACTTATTGATTATGTGATCTGGGCTTCCTGGGGTGTGATTAGTTGGCTCTAATCCCCACACCCATTATGACTCAAAATAATCAATCAGTCAAGGCCGGCTGAGGGGTAATTACAGGCTGAACCATCAATACATCTGGAGGCAGACATCAATATCTCCACAGACTCCATCAGCGATGACAGTAACAAGATAGAGCGATGTTTATGTGTCCACCATGGTGAGTCCTTTTGGCTCGGTGATGTGTAAAATCGACATTTTGCATCGCAAAGTTGCTAATATGCAGGTTTATCATTCTGTATCTTTCTTATCTTATCTTAACTATCTAATGTATCTTTCTGTCTCTCTTCCTCTTAGGGGATTGAAATAACATCCACCGGCTCCAGTAACCACTTCGTGACTGGAACTGCTGTTGAGGTCAGGCTCTCTCCTTTACCTTCACTGTTGACTCAGCCCACACATCCACTGTGTCTGTGCTCTTGACAAATCCTGAAGAGTGGTGTGACTCACACCCCTGCTCCTTTTGAACTCCAGACCAAAAAGGTTAACTTCAGCTATGGTTTGTCTCTTTGCAAGAGCACTGTTGAAAATAAGAGCTTGGGTTTACATCCAAAAGAGTCTCAAAATGTGTCATTTCTGAACCGGTTCTGTCTTGTCAAAAAGTATTGCTGACCTGCAGGAGTATAACAGGTTACAAGCTATGACTCTGTGGCTCAGGTCTGTCACGTATTGTCTTCTGGATTATGTGTTATGGAAGCATGAGCTCTGGACGAAGGGGAAATCCCCCTGGAAGTACTTTTGTGTGACATATTATTTTGAGCCGTTTGCTTATCTTTCTTTGCGCCACTGCTTTGAAGTTGAAACCAATAAGAGGCCTTGTGCTGCAAATACTTTGCATGTATAACTTAACTTAAAATGAAATATATAAATATCTACTTGAGGCTGCATGTATAACTTAACTTAAAATGAAATATATAAATATCTACTTGAGGCTGATTGGTCCAAATGCATGTAAACAAAGAAGCATCTTGCAGACACATCATGGCATGTTTTATATCTATGATCAGCAAGGATTTATTTGTTTTACAGTTTTATTTGTAAATTGGAAATAACCTGAGCTATAGCACACATTTTTAAAATCTATTTTCCAGAGCATGCACTTTATCACGATATATATTGATATAAAGTTACATACAGTAACAGAGGATTTCATTTTAGGGTCTGAAATTATTTCTAGCTACAAAAGCACTGTAAAAGTTAGCAAATCATAATTAACTTCACGATCACAGGAATACCTATTACAGTTATTCATTTATGGAAATGTGTCCATAGTCTTTAGTTATTAGTCACACATCCTTTAATGAGGTATGATAAGAATGAATATGTCAAAATGAACCTCATATTCTGTGTTTAACAGGAGCTGATAAATAAGCCATCATGCCTAAAGAAATAGTCAAAACATCAAAATGCACAGAACATACTTAAAAAAGAAAAACTCTCTATCTGCTCACTTATTGCAAGTCACAGTGAATAAGTAAAAACCTACCAAAAGTTCAGTGAACAATATAAATCAGTTTTATTTATTACGAGATCTTATCTGTGTTGTTTGTCTCTCTTTTTGCAGCCTTCATCGGATGCCTATTTGAAGATCTTGGCTGGTGATGAAGTGATTCAAGTCAACGACCAGATAGTGGTGAGTGTTACAACATAAACAGTATGCGTACACAAGCCTGCACATATGTTGCACTGCTCCGTTGCGCTGTACGTGTGTGGTCCTCTCAGTCTAAAGACAAACCTCTGTACATTCACCGGTCCTGCAAAGTGTTTCTGTGTCCGAAACAATAACACTCAAAGTGGAATAATCATCTGTTTCGCTGCATCAGGTCGGCTGGAGCAGAGCTAACCTTGTGAAGAAGCTTCGAGAGAATCCCAACGGAGTGACTCTGGTCCTGAAGAAGATCCCTGGGTTAGCCCGACGCAGAAACCCAGTCCAGCTCTCCTCCACACAGGTCAGGGATCATTGAAGTCCTCCTCCACTCACCTCATCACTCCACCAACTCTATTTACCTTTCTGATTTACAAAGGGAACTGTGTTGACTTGAAGTACAACCCAGGAACCCAGATGTTCCTGCTCTCAACAGGAAAAAACACACAGGAAAAATTTAAATCTCATGTGAAGATTGCCTCGTTCGTAAGGTTTCTGCAAAAATATCTAAAAAGTTCCCTCAGAGGAATAGCAGAATGTTTAGTATGTGTTCGCTCCATCCACTTTATCATATCTTGATATTTAATGAACTGTTTGAATCATTACATCATCCATTTGTCACACACAATAACTCCACCATCCCATTTCGACAGAAGATTAGGAAAATACGCATATCATCACTGTATCTCAATGTGCACAATGACTCACGATGAGCCACGCAGAGAATGACATTCTTCTTGTTACTCCTTCCTTTGCCTCAGAAGCTTGTGGGCTTTGAAAACTTGTGTGTGAAGCCATTAGAAGAAATCTCCAGCCAATAGAGTTATTGTTACACACACGCAATTTAGATTTTCTGCCGCGTAGTTTCAGTACAGGATAATTACACCCAGGGGTGAAACATCATCGTCATATTTCAGAAACTGGGATTATTTACGCAGTTTATGTCAGGGGAACCTTAAGCTTCCCTTCCACGAGAGTCCCCTCTTCGATTTCCATTTAACAATCCCTTGGGATCTGTTTCCATAAACACTCACTCTGCGTAGTCACTATGGGGACTGGTGTTTGTCTCTGAACTACACACTGAATTACATAATGAGTCTGAGACAAGCAGACACACTTTGTGCATTTCACACCCCCTTGTGACTACCATGTTAATCTCCGATCTCGCTGCAGCCGTAGGGTGAGAAAACACATAAGGAGGTTTGAATCAGCTCCTTATTGCCCTTTCTCGATGCCCTGCTCTTAGCGAGAGTTTCACAGACTGTGTGTGTGTGTTCGTGTCTGTGTCGTTGGCACAGAGTGAGGGTTTGGAGACCTGAGGAGAAAGCTGCTATTGCAATCCACATGACATCTGCCTCCTTACCCTCCGCTAATCCCTAACTACACAGCCAGTTTAGTGTGCACACTCATAACTTGAATTACTGCTGATTTCTTTTCAGAAGGAGGAAGAAGAGGAGAGGTCACAGGGGGAAGAGGACGAGGAGAATCCGAGGCACTCCATATTTGAGAGGGTAGCAGCGTCTGTCAGGTCCCTGTCTTTTAGGTGAGAGCATAATTAAGTGTTCCTTCCATTAATTAGCTATTTCCTTTAACAATTCTGGGTGGATCAGGTCATTGTGGGCAATACTGGATTTTAATAGGATTTTTACAATCCTCAACCCTCATTTCACAAGAATCCCTGTCTTTGAGGTCAGCGCATAAACTAGCTTTAATTTAAAGTAGCTGTAAATACGCAATATACGCGTAAGTAATTATGTCAGTACTTGCCCTGGATGAAGGGAAGGCGGAGAGGGGACAGCCTCGCCATTCTCTGTGTGTTCATGAGATTTTGTGGGCGATGAAACATCACGGCGAGCAGGCTACAATCGTTTGGTTCAAGAGCTCAGCTCACCTTTGTTGTATTTGTTGTAAGATCTCTGCGGCCAGAAAAAAAAAAAGCCAAACACTCAGCGCAAAATAGACGCTTAGCCCGTAATGCTGCTGCCGTTTGTAGCATCGTGAGCTGGCCTCAGAAAAAAACCCCGCCTTGACCAAACAACTCTACCTCTGACTCATGCTGTTTTTAGAATGTGCCAGCGGGCTACTCATTGGCTCCTTGTTGGCACCTTTTTGGCTACCCCAGATGTACAATAATGTAGGTTTTAAATTTCAAATGTTTAACAAAGAAGGAAATGCATTTAGCATGTTTGATTTTTACATGTTAAGAAGAAAACTCCGCAGGGTACCTTTAATTGTAAAGCACCATACATGACCGGAATATGCTACTTGAAAAGTTTTTGAGAGGTTTTTTAGAAGCAAATCATCTTGCCGTACCTGGGTCTGTAATCTAAAATACATTCAGTCTTGAACGGAAAGTGTTTTCATTTCCGGTATATAACCAATGAAAAGCAAGTCTGTTTAGAGGTGTAATAACTCTGCATCTCAGAGCAGGATGGACATAAGTGTTGGTCACTATACTACCTAGGATTTACTCAATAGAGCTGAACCTCCCACAAACCCTTTTGACCTCGTTAATCTGCCAGGACCTGGTTGGTTTGCGATGAGGTCACACTGCCAATGCCGTAAATTCCACCGTCAACAACCCACGGCTGACTGGAAATGAGAGAAGAGGAAGAGATAAGCAAAAAGATAAATAGATAAGGGAGGTTTATAGAGATGAAGAAAGACACAAACAAGGGTGAGTACAGAAAGAAAAATGGGAGAAGGGAGGAAAAAGTGATGGAGAGGCGAAGGGAGACAGTGTGAGCTGATGGGGAGCAGGCGTACTCAGACAAATGGAGGGAGTAGGCGGGGATGGTGCATTAAGGTTGTAAATATCTCTGTCACATCCTGATACGCTACAACTCCAGTCTAAGGAAAGAAACTTTAGACTGCTGGCAAACAGTCATATTTATCCTCTTTAAACGTCAATACTGGTCATTTATACTGTTTCACCTCATACCAGACGTCAATGCTTCTCAGAAGTCCCTGAATGCACCACCAGTGAGTTCTTTCGATTGGTGTTGTGATCTGTTTCTATGTGTTTTCCACTGAAGGAGAGCCATTCAGGGGCCAGAGGGACCTCAGCGGCCTATGGGACAGGAGGAATCAGAGTTGTCCACTCACAGGGAAGTGGAGAGACTGACTCTCACTTCATATCAAAGCCAACAGGGGGTGCTGTCACCACTGTCAGCCTCAGGTAAGAACCACAGAGGGAGCTCAGGCCTTCGGCAAGAGAGCATCTGGTTTCAGTCGTTGAAGCAGGATTTCGGATGGAGACATATGAAAGAATAATTACCGCTTAAGGCCTCCAAATATATCAAAAAATGCTAAATGTAAAGACGGAAATTCATTATACAGTACCTGAAGGTAATAATGAAAAAAGCCTCAATTACTTTTGCTGCAATAAAGCAATTTGAAATAGACATATTACCCTGACGTTTGGTAACGTTAAAAGGATTCCAAACTGTGACATCCCATAGATGAGATGACATCAAATCACAAAATTCTCTTTTCATGGAAAACCAGTCAGTGTAATTGATTTACGAGTACCAACGAGATGTGTTGCCTCGATACAGCGATGTCGGTTGTTTAAAAGAGTATTAAATGTGGATCATTGACTGCTGACACAAATTCAATGTGAGTGTTGATGGTGTTTTAAATAGTTATACCGTGACTTCTTTGTCAACACAAATGCTTGAAATTACTCTGCTGGTCGATGCATGGTGATCACATGTATATGTTTTTCTCAGGGGAGTTTGAGAGTTTGAGAAGTTCAAGGCTCTCCCCAAGCCTAAGACAAGACCAGTCTCCGTCACCCAGAAGTCCTTCTGCCTTTAGATTTGACAGATTGGGAAATTCAAAGCTCTCCCCAAGACTAAGACGAGACCGGTCTCCGTCACCCAGAAGTCCTTCTCCCTTTAGATTTGGGTCATTGAGAAGTCATTCACCTCAGGGACTCGACCAGGAAACAGCCATCATCAGTTCCTGCCCGGAAATGGTGGGACACACGGTGAGAGGGAAACAGCAAGACATGCAAACATTTTCTATCAGACATTTAAAACATTTTACCCCCCCACTGTTGATGTTGTTTAAACTACATTTGAATTAAACACAGTGTACACACAATAAATTAAATCCATCGGCTTATCTTTCCAGGGCAATAAGGACACGAAGAAGAGCTCTACAAAAGGTAAACGTTTATGCTGTAATACTAAATTAATCTAAGAGAAATAAGCCAAATTCAATACCAAAAGGTTGCACTGAATTGAAGACAGGGTCCATATAGTTTCGTGCCAAAAAAAACCTTGTTTAAGAGCAGAACAAGGAATAAACATGTTCAAATGTTTCTAAAAAATATTTCCTAACGATTTACAGACCTATCTGTAGGACATAAGATGGAAATAATTACAAATGCACAGGATTCTGCTTACTAATTTCTAAAATGTTTTGTCATGTTCGGAAAGAAAATAGAGGAATATTCAGAATTTGGAGAGAAAATATGTTTGGTGATCTCTGCTCTTCTTCTTCTTCTTCTTCTTCCCGTCCTTTCGTCCTCCCAGGAATGTCGACGGCGATGAGTCGGCGCCGCGTCTCCTGCCGCGAGCTGGACCAACCCGACTGCGACGGCTGGCTGTGGAAGAAGAGAAAGGAGAGCGTCTTCATCGCCCAGAAGTGGCAGCGCTTCTGGTTCGTCCTCAAGGGGCCGAGCCTTTATTGGTACACCAGCCTACAGGTGGGAATAAACCCATGAGAATATATAAAAAAAATTAAAAACCAAATAAATGAGGTAGCACCATTAAAACAGGATTTGTTTATTTTTTACAGGATGAGAAGGCAGAGGGTTTTGTCAATATCACCAGCTACAACATAGAGAGTGCTGGAGAGCACAAGAGAAAATAGTAAGTATGAACTTAATGATGGATCATATCACAGGCTTTTTAACATGTCATCCAGGAATATGTGAGGATCCATAGTTTGTTGATATTATGTAACAGTGTTTTCATCTTTTAGTCACCACTGGTTAGTTTGAAACAGAAACTTTATTGTCCATGTGCACAGTGGTTGATCCATCTTGGCTTGCATAAGCGACATACTGTATATGATGTACGTGATGCACGAGTCTGTGCAAAATAAGATATATTTTCCAAATGACTGTTAAAGAAAAAGAGCCCGTTGTATCTGAATCTGAATTTATGATATCTTATCTCTTCGGACAAAAGAGATGGGCAACGAGAATTTCTTTTGCAGTGTATGTGTGTCAGTATAACTTGTGTGTTTAAATTTCACTGTAATGAGAAACTTTTCTTCCTGTGCCTCCCTCTCTCTTTGTTCTCTCTCCCGACAAGCGTGTTTAAAATGTGCCACCAGCGGTTTCACAACTTCTTCTTTGCAGCTGACAATGTCAGCGACATGAGCAAGTAAGTTGGATTGATAACAAACTAAGGCCTTGTTCAGCCTGTATTTCTTATCTTTCTTTCTCTTTTTCCAGAACCTAAACAAACGAGGGCTTTAATAATGCAAGTTGAGCCTTTCGTGCTACATTTCTTAAATATATGACCAGCTTAAAAACGCAGCTGTGTAATGGCAGACTAGGTGCTTCAGCTACACAATGTAGTGTTAATTCATTCTTTTTTTGCAAACAGTGAGTGTGTAAGAGGTGTTAAATCAAAATCTAACAGGTGCTGGTCTGCACTGCCCCCTACAGTTGGCTGTTCAGGATCCGGTTTTTGTGCTGTTTAAAGCAATGGGCACTTTAAATTTAAAGCTCAATCCTGAACATTACTGAGACATTATTTGTATTTGCTTTGTCTGTGCTGATACGTCTTTGATACTGATACTGATACTGATACTGTCTTTCTCCAGGTGGATTAACTGTCTGATCACAGCCATACATCATCACAAGAAGTTTAACACAGGCCCAGATAGTGAAGAAGGTAGGCAAACAGCCTCCTTACATTTGAACTTATGTTTATACTTCTGATCCCTAAAAGCTATGCACTTAAAAAGGTATTTAGTAGTTTCACTCATCTTAAATGTCTTGCAATACCTTTGGTTCGTATATAATCTATTTAACTTGACTTGCATTTTTGGGTTTCAAAAATATAACTAATGCTGGATGACGTGTCCTGGCGCTGTAACCAAAATAATTTTCTCTGCTATTATTCAACATCAGGACACCTCCGTCATACTGGGGCCATCATTAAGTCATGGTTATGATATGTTAACTGGCAACATAGGAAGAAGCATAATAACTGTTGCTATTGTTACCTGCAGTTTATTTAGGGATTATAGTCCAGCCAGCAAGTTAAAGATATGATGTGTTGTGGTAAAATCATTAATTCAACACCTGTTTTTACATATAGAATGTTATAGTGAGACTGAATCAGAAAGCGAGACACCACCTTCAACCCACAGAAGAAACAAGGTTGGTTCAGTTAGCGGTTTACACCTGAATAAACACAAAACACACACTGTTTGGAGCTCCATTCAGATCATTTCCTATTTCATTACGTGCCTCAGAAAGTGCTGTCCCACACTCTGCCTCGCCCCAAGGGGAGGACGAACATGCCATTATCGAGTCTTGTGACAGGGGGCAGCAAAGGAACAGGTATGTACTGAATAACTAACTCAGCTCTTTTTCTTATTTCCTCTCTCAATGATTCATTACTTTAATCTGTGAAGACTGTACCCCCCTGATAGACGTTTTAATAATATGTGAGTGCAACATTTATTTTAATCATGACATGCTGTTTTCCTGACTTGACCCTGTGGATATTTAACCCAATCAACTGTCGAGAAATAATGTTCAACCAAACCCCACTGCTGTTTTTTTGTATTTAATTCCATCTTTGTTTGATGTCCCTCCCTCCATCTTTATTTGCTCTTCCCTTTCTGTGTCTTCCTCCCCTGTGAGAAGGAGGACCAGTGGATGAGATGGGCATGATGTTAAACAACATAAAGGAAGGAGGAGTCTCTCTGATCGGCCACGAGCAGCCGATTACACACGACCACTTCAGGAAATCGTTCATTCGACGCAACAAGAACCCCATCATCAATGAGAAGGCGCACACGCTCCGGGCCCTGCAGAGCACTCTTAAGGTGAGCAGAAAAGTCCTCCAGCTCGTGGTTCAGGTTACACTTTCCCTGTATGTCATATGACATACTGACACAGGTCAAACACTCTGCTTAAGCAGTTAATAGACCAAGTTAATTTAGCATTGGCCAGTTAGGAATCACTGAGACTGTGTGAATTGTGATGTCTTTTCTTTTGACTGGAAGACAAAGAAGTATGAATGAACTAATATCAAATAACTGACCTGTACAGCAAGTTTGTTGTTCTTAGACACTGAAATTCAGGAAGTTTCATATTTGAACATATATGCATTCTCACTGAAACCCCTTTTCACGCTACAGGCCAAAGAGGTGGAGCTATTGCAGCTCAACAAGCTCTTAGAGGACTCTGATCTGTCAGCTTCAAAGTATCGCCAGTGGAAGGAGCAGAACGAGGAACTAGTTCAGGAAATCGAGAGGCTGTCCGCAGTCAAGGCCTCCGAAGGACCGGACAGCGCGGCCGTGCAGGACACGCCCACGGAGGAGGTTGCCTTGGAAACTGTCGTAAAGGAAACAGCCACCGCAAAATCAGAAGGCGCATACAGAATGAGCCTCAGCGACGGGGAGCAGTTGGTGGATGCGGAGCCGTCCGACGTTCTCCTCGAGATCCCACAGGGTTCTCTGAGCACCAGTCCAGTGTTAGAACTCTCTCTGGGATCGCTGCAGGATTCAATAAATGAACAGCTGAGTGAAATGGTGGAGAGCGGAGAACCTGCCGAGAACTACTTCTACATTTAACGCTGGAACGGTCGCATCACTGCCAGGTTGCTGTGTTTACTGGAATCGGTCAAATGGAAGACGTTCATGCAACCAAGTGACAGAGGTGCATTGTCCCCTGCTGACATTAGGATTAGTCAGTGACATGCACATATGTAGATTTAGACCTAGCTTTGTTCACAACAATCAAATATGACAAGTTTACAACAAAGAAAAGAACAACATGCCAAGTATTTATGGTATTGTAAGGCCGTCTGGTTCTTCTAATGATAGAAAGTAGAACTTCTCTTAGAATTGAAAGAGAATTTGTAATATAAGTCATGCCTCGTGTAATGTGATATGTAAATACAGTTCCACTATAAATACTGTATGTATTTGTTTATTGACGTTGCCTTAATAATAGGTATACATTTGAAATATTTTGCACAGAAAATTTGCTTCAGAAACACTGTCGTAGCCTCGTTGGTCAAGGTGGGTTTTTTGAAGCGTTGTGGAGGACACGTTATACTTCCCCACATATATGGACATATGAACCATATAGTCGAGCTGTATGACAGCTGTGTGTTCCTAATTGCCCAAGGCCGCCACGAACGCAGCAAGACAAGTGAAGACTCCTCAATGGCTGAGACGTCTGTTCACTGTAATATTGATCGGCTTAATAAAAAGGTAGCGTGATTTGTTGCTAAATGTGAAGTGTCTTTTTTTTGATACATTTCCCAAAAATATGTTGCAAAAATCCAGTTTTCACTAAGTCATTTTGCTGTGTTGAGTGTAGATTGATGAGGGGGGAAATCAATTTAGATGATTTTTGCAAAAGGCTACAACAAAATTTACTGTACTCAGGTCAGTGCCAAATTTAATATATTGAACTTCTGGTAACAAATAGGTGTTTCTCTTACTGTTTCTCGCTGAATGACATTGTTTGCTGCTGACTGAGAGAACTGCTCATCAGGTCGTGATCTCTTCACATAATGGGGCTCGTTCTGCTAATTCACTGAAGTGACCGTGTCCGCTGTGCGTGGGCCGAGATGGTCTCTGCCTCTCAGCTTTGTGTGGAGACAGGGTCTTTAATTAAAGCTTTTTTTCTATTGAAACATACCTTAATCTGACTTTACTCTCGATGGCACATAAACGAATAGCACTAGGATAAAGCACACAGTGATACATTGCTGAAATGTTTTATTCAATGCAGAATGCACCACCAAGTATGAACACACTGTCATAAGTTAACACCAAGGAATAATTTACAAAGAACAAACAACACCCTGCTGTACATCCTCCTCAAACACTTTTCATCTCCTCACTGTTCTTGAAGTCAGGAATGTCATTCATTAGATGAAGAGTTACCGTGCAGGCTGAGAAATTGGCAGATCATTTGTAATGTTCTTACAGTAATGGGACTTCCAGAATTGGTCTTTTTTTTTAATTGCCTCCAGTGACTGAATTGAGAAAATAACAAAAGCAAGATTGCAATTACTGAAAAAATGAGTTAAGATTGTTCTCTCCAATCCACAGAACCACATTTACAAGATTTCCATAGATGTAAAACTAAGTACCGATGAAATGAGTGTAATCTATAACAGCATCTAAAACAAGCTTGTTCAATAGTCTTTCAAAGCTGTAACATTATCTAAGCAACTTATAATTTATCACAAATATTTTAAATTTCACAGTTTTGTTCGGACACAAAAACAGCTAACAGTACAAAGGCATGGCTACAATGTAAAAGGCAGCACAAAGAGATACTTCAGTCATGTTTCACTACATGTTGCAGTTAAAGGCAGCAGGAACTTACTTCTCTAACAATCTTTGTATTCTTTCATTCATCACTTTGAATTTTACACCCAACCAAAATGATCATTCTGTCTACGTCAAGATGCAGTTACTGTACAACCATCATGCTCATACCTGACAAGTCCATCAATCAAGTAGTGGTAATGTCCTGTGGTTCACAGTAATTTATGAATTGACTCATTTCCTTAGTTGGCAGATTTATCAGCTGATGAGTTCAAAGGGACTTTAGTGCCTATGTGTCCAGATTTTTTCTTCTTTACTAACGTTTTAAAGGGAAAATTCAGCTTGTTTTATGTGGATGTCCAATCAGTGTTGATTGTAAATGTAGTCGATCGGAGCAATAAATTCCTCGGCGTGTGCTATTGACCCAGGAAGCTATGGCTGCAAAATCTATTGTTCTTACTGCATCCAGTGCCTTCATTTGACATGACAATGATGTAGTTTGTGGCAAGGAAGAACTACAGGCAGCTTGGATAGCCAGCTTGGTAGCCAGGGGGCTGAGCTTTAGATGTAGCTCAAAAACAGAACTTCGTTCTCTTTGTTTCTAGTGCAAAAAGCAAAAATGGCATCCCAAAATATAAATGCAGAGGATGTAATGGACCAGGATGCAGTTTACAGTGTTTTGGCTGACTCAGACATTCAGCTAAACTTGCAATTTAGGTTTAAAACTTGGTTGAAGGTTAGGGTAAGGTTAGGTTTAGGTTAAGGTTAGAGTAAGGATAAGGATTAGGATTCGGATATGATTAAGGTACGTCTCTAGGAAATGAATGTAAGTCAATGTAAGCACCAACTGGTGAATTTATAGCTTCAATTGGCTACATTTACCATCATCACTGATTGGACATTCGTATAAGAGCTGCAAACTTTCACCTTTAAATTATTTTTAGTGTGAGGTTGACATTCTAACAGCTGACCTCATATACATCGGTCTCTGGCTTGTTGGTGATCTGCGGACATGAACGACATGCGGGGCAGACAGGTAGCTTTGGGCAGGAAGGGCAAGTCGGGTATCTTGGTCGTTTGAAGCTTAACAGCAGAGCACTGCCTCCCAGCATCTGTAAACATGAACCGAGCCACCCAAAGTAGAGCGAGCCGGCAGGACGCAGGCTGAGGTGGGGGGGGAACCTGGGGTTATTTATCCCTTTACTTGGATCTTCCATCCCCAGTCTTGTAAGGTTGTGGGTGTACACCCCGAGTGCAGTCAGGCTCAGCAGCCCGGCAATCACCACCAGGAGTCCACCTGTAGCTGCTATACCTCTCAGAGGTATATCTGTCCAACACCGGACCCCGATACACGCCAGCACAATGCCAGTGCCGCACAGGAACAACGAGGTCAGGATCAAACCTTGTGCCAGGCGAACCCTCGGGTCTCTCTGATATGGACCTGCAACAGGCCAGCACTGCTTCAGCTCTGAGTTCTCCACCTGCAGGCAGCTCTCCCAAAGTCCATCAGAGCGCAGTAAGATCAGCACCTCCATGGATCTGGACCTGACCTTCGTCCCTTGACCTTTTCCTCCTGACCGAAGAAATGACCCCGGGCCCAGACGTGCCTGTCTCTCTCTCCACTGAGGTGTGATGGCGGCGGTGAAGATGAGGACCAATCCCAAAGGGGCGAAGACAATCCCCGTCACCATGGAGGCTGAAGTGTGCATCGTAAGTGGTGCAACTCTGATTCTTTACAAAAACTCTCAAGACTTATGACTAATTTGTCAAAATAAAAACCTGCACAGTACCTGCGCTCAACACTGAGAGTGTTTTCCAAAAGAAAGATGACAGTGGATGCTGCTTGTAATTATTATGCGTCAGTGTCATGGGACCCCTCATAACAGTGTGGATCTGTTCAGAATGTTTTGTCTTCTGTTGTTTCTCAGTGTTCACAACACAAATGTCTCCTCTGAGCATACGCTGCCGATCTGTGTCTGTAAAAAAAACAAAGAACTTAAAACTTCAAATATTTTCTTCACAAAAAGGTGTAATTCAGCTATTAGCAAAATCAAAGGGAGTCAGTACAGTGATAAGAACATCAGTTCAAAATAGAAATTCATCCATTACCTCTTTGTCAAAACTGTTTTAGCTGCAGATTCTTCATTGTGACAGTCTGAGTGAAGGAGAAAGAGTCAGTCAGAAAGTGGGGAGCATGTCATGAGAGAAGAGAGATGGGGAGAGAGAGAGAGAGAGAGAGAGAGAGAGAGAGAGAGAGAGATGAAAGACAACAGAGGTGTGAGGTGGAGCAGAGACGAGCGCTCCAGCCGCTTGAGAAAGCAGAAGGAGGCTTGGCTTCACCGCTCCACCGCTGGACAGGAAAAGATCGAACGGTCGATGTCGGTCTCTGTTGCTAGGATACGATAACCTGGCCAGTCTCAACGTGACAGTGTGTGTGTTGCTTTATTTATCATAACACCTAGTGGGACTACTGTCTGTACAAGACCTGATCAGCTTGTATATTGGCTTGTAACAAATGTTGGCACGTTTGACTTCAGTCGTGCATGTGTGTGTTTTGTGTGTGTGTGTGTGTGTGTGCAGGAGGGTGTGTTGTTGTTTTCTCAAAGCTTGACAATTGATGGCAAACAATGACCTTGTAAGAATTCAGTTTGGTTGGTGATGTCAGGCCAGTGTCTGAATGCAGATTGAGGTCCAGAAGAGGAAAGAAAGAAACAATGCCCTCTGGGACGAAGACAAAACAACTTCAAGACATGTGGGACTAATGCAGATCAACACACACACACACACACACACACACACACACACACACACACATACACACAAGCATCTATAATCAGTAAACATCTTTGTCAAACAAACACACACAACAGTGATAACATGATGACGTCTTACATAAGAAAAAAAAATTGTTTCTGAGTTTCTTCTGTTTTTTTATGTTGATTTAACCCTAAAATGTAACATTTACAAGCAAGACATACAACAGATAATCTAACTAATTTATGTCACTTGTGAACTGGCAACATGTGTTTATGGATGATGGTGGGAAATTCATTCGTAAGCCAAAAATCAGCTTGTATTTGTTTTGGTGCACTCTGGTGAGGATGCTCAGCCTACGTGAATTATATTTGTAAATTTGATCTAATTAATGGTAAGATATTTGCCTTCTGGAAATGTCACTGGAGGGTTGCTGATATTTAGACTGACCGATCACCCTTGAAGGCAATGGGGAGTTTCATTTAGAAAAGATCAAAGACAACTGAGTGGATATCAGTCTAAGAATAGACAGGAAAGATGGAATATACCAGAACAAACTAGAATATTAAATAAAATAGAAATGTGCCATGGAAATGTATGTCTGTATGTTGTATAACATCTGTGAGTAGAGTGTAATTTCATAAACACATAGCTGTTGTCTAGTGTCATTCTGTGTCTAGAATTACAGTGTATGTTAACATTGCAATTAGAAACATCATTTCCTGCGCTGCTACCAGAATGTTTTGACTTTGATGGGAAAGAGAGAAGACGACACATGAGGATCGGAGACCTGACCCAGCTGTCAGGACATCAACTGCTTCTCTGCTACAACTCTGTTATCACTAAGCAGAATTTGTATTTGTCTGTAATGCTTATTTAACAGCAGTGACTTCACCAGATGCTGCATTTGTTTTGATACAGAGACGGCAAGAGGGATATGGTATGAGAACATCTGCAGAGAGGCACAACATCCAAGAGGCTTATCATGAATTGAAAATGATGGCTATACTGTAGGGTTATTAATAGCCCAAACACTCTCATGCAGGCACATTTTCTAGCGAATGCAAACACACAAAGAGACGCAGTCCACATAGTCAGAGTTACTTACCATTCAGGAGGGGTTGTTGGTTTCTCACTGCCTCCCTGCTCTCATCTGAATGGCTAACATGTTTCTCTCTCAGGCGGGAGATGGAGCGGCCACCTCTTCGTTATCCTTGCTCTCTCTTCCTTCCCATTTATCCTTGCTTCTGCAGTATCCCCGCCCGTCTCTGCCTCCGTTTGTCCTTTTGTCTGCGCCTATTTTTGTCTGCTTGCCCCGACCGTCTGCCTCTCTGTCTCACTTTCTGTGTGTGCATGTAGTGCCTCTCTCTTTGACTTGCTGAAGGATGTCTGTGTTATATCTAGGACAGGATTGCCTCCCTGTTGTCAGTGTCACCACATAGGGAAAGCTTTTCTTCTTCAACGCATGTGTGCTGCCTAGTTGGATTGTGAACCCCCCCCCCCCCAGACCCAGACATACCAAAGATACAAAACATAAGACCGAACCTCTCTCATGCAGGTAGGATACGTGCTTTTGTTTGATCTGTAGAGAGAACTGAATCAGCTGTTTCTATATTTCTAATATGCGATTATTATCAAGAGATGAGAGAAGAAAAGATAAATATAAGTGCACACACACACACCAGTAATAATTGATCCTTGGTGTGAATGGCTAGCTTTTAAATTAGATCTGTATGTATAATTAAGAGACAGCCACAAAACCTATTATGCATTTTCTTTATTTTCTTACAAAAGAGGCAAGATGTGACTAATGCAACCAGAATTGCCATGATATAATAATGAAATATTACAGGGATACATGCTTGTTTTGAAATGATACATAACGTAAAAGGGGAAAAAAAAAAAATCCTACAACTTTTTACACACACACACACACACACACACACACACACACACACACACACACACACACACACACACACACACACACACACACACACACACACACACACACACAATAAAAAAGTCCTCTGGCCAGCCTCAGGGTTTGGGGGTTTGAACTGTTTCCAGGGAAACTCTGGTTAAACTGTAAAGAAAGGAAATGTCCACAACTCTGAACTAAATGGTGGCCAATACTAACTATTGTGTGGTTTTATGGGTGGAAATGTCTGACTTTAGGTTCTGAATCAAACCGTCGGGACAGTGAAAAAAAACATCCTAAGCAGGTTGTGGGTGAGGAAACGCACCATTGGCTCTTGTAGAAGAAATGATGGATACATTAAAAGAAACAAGAATAGCAACCTCTGAAAATGCTGAAAAATACACAAATCATGTGCAGAGCTCTGTAAAAAAAATTGAAATACATAGCAATATGTGGAAAATGGATTGCGACATGCACATGTCTAGTTTATAAAAACACTGTCATATTAAGTTCTATTTACATTATATATATACACAGGATTCTCATCATAATTGCTCTTACGTTACAATTCAAATAACAAAATCATGGGGCGAGTGGCATTTACAACATCGAGAAAACGAATAGGCTTTTCCAAGTGAAATCTTAAAAACGTCTCTCGTCTGAGCCCAGATCTCTCATTGGTTTTGCCAGTCCACAGCTTGCATTGTCTTTGACTGAGCAGTGCTATTAGAGATGGTTCAATTAGGCAGCAAGGATTCGTTACGTTCTTCAATGGAGCAGGCTGCTTGCTCTCATACTTCAATGAGGGTGACCTGGAACTGACCGCTGATAACCTCGGACATCTCGATGAGGAAGGCCGACTGGTTGGTGTAATGTTGGATGATGTTGTCATCCATGTTGACGAAAATCCTGAAGAAGAGACGAGCAAGGTTATCTCAGTGATTGCAAGGAAAATGTGGCGCACGAATCAAAAAAAAAAAAATCAATATAAAACATATTTTACTTCAAAACCAGTTTGTCCTTAATAATGTGTCTCTTTTCACTTAAGTGTGACATAGGCAACAGGTCGCCAGAGTTTGTTTTGGTTCGAACGCATGTCATTTCTTTGTAGGGCAATTCTTGTTGCAACAACAACAACAACAACAACAACAGGTCACTCTCTTCCTTCTCTACCAACGCTAACCTTTAAGTCTTGAAGGATTTATTAATGACTGAGCTAACCAGCGGCTCATGCATTCTGCCTGCAGCGACAGGGTTGATTGAAGACAAGAGCGAAAGAGGAGGGAGGGAACAGCAAGGAGAATGCAACCCAACCTGTTAGCTTAGCTGCTCCCCCTCAAATGACAGCTGCCAGCAGCAAGCAGGAAACAGCAGAAAAATCACCCAAAAGGTGTTTCAGTCTCTGTCAGGAGTTCTTATTTACATCTCAAGAAAAAGCCCTCTGATCGCTGTTATTTTCCAGGAGGTGATCCAGACTATTATTAGTTTGACAGCAACTGGCTGTGCGAGTTACAGTCGATGCATCTTTTGGAAATTGTGCTAACCTGTGCTGGCAAGGATGTTAATAACTTTACAAGAAGATCTTTGTGAATAATCAGTCATGAAGAGAAAAGGTGACCTTTTCATTACCACTGGAGTGGCACCTTTTTTAAATGAATCTTAAAACACCGAAAATCAGCGCAGGAGATGGGCAGCGCGTATAAAGTCATCTGACCCAACTTAAAGTTCAGCTGATAGAAATGTGACAGATTAAAAAAAAAAAAAAAAAAAAGATCACAACTTGATGGACAACCTTTAGGTAGTAACTGGAAGCCACTAGATATCTCTTTCAACACTGGAATACTTCCTGATGTTCCGATTAGGTTATGAAAGCATGAAGACAACAATTGCCCATGACTCATCTGTAAGACTTGTAATCTTTTCATCCTCCCTCAGTCATCTGTCTCTCTTTTGGAGGAGCTGCAATTAACACATTCCAGGAGGCCGAGCCAACTAACCTACCTACCCAGTCTGTCGACATGACTTTCCTTAAAGGAGAATGAGATTAAAACCACAAACTAAGCCCTGCATTTATGCACATTGTGTCAAATGCGCTACTTTACCTACCAATGAAATAATAAGTTACTCACCCTCTCTTGCACTTTTTGTAGATTTTTCCAATGGTGTCTTTTTGAATACCGTACTTATCTGAAACCTGAGTAAAGAAAGAAAGACAATGGACTTGAGAGATAATGTAGGGTAACATATGTGAGCATGATGTGGGTTTTTTGGAAGGCAACAACCGAGACAAGGGGGAAGTGTGTGTGTGCCTTTATCTCCACCTCCGAAATCAGGTCAGATAATACAGTAATGCGTTTGAAGTCTGAGTTTGTTACTTACAGCTTCCCGTAGGCCTGAAACTGTTGGCGCGTTGAGCATGAGCGCATCAAACACCTCGTCAGCGTGCGTCCTCACGTACAGCAGAACTATTGGAAAGCGAGAGAAGGAATTAAAACATTTAGCTAAAAAGACGAGGAAAGCTAATTGGCTCATTATTGATTGCATCTTCTTTTTTCACGTTAGACTTTTAGTTCTCTACGTACCTCTTTGTGGGTCTTCTCTACAGGCTTGTTTGCTTGGTGGAGCGCTGATCTGGTCTCTCTCTGGATACAATCTCTTCATAGAACTCCTGGGAAAACACAACAGACGTTCACATTAGACTACAACAGCCACTATGCGTTTATTCAGAAATAACTGGTTGTGATGTACAGCTGTTAATGTCGCCATGTGCTTTCTACGCTCACCTTTCAACCTCGTCCATGGGAGGGGCCTAGAGAGACGAAGAGAAAAACAGAGAGGAGACCAGAGATCTGATTAGACACCACTCCACTGATAAAAGCATTGCTTAAAGTCACCTTTCCCACCATTATCTGTGCGCAATACCTTCAAGGAAGAATGTTATCATTGCTTTAAGACTGCTTTTCCCATGACCTCTAAACTACGTAAGCGTGGGCACTGATGGAGAGACACAGATAGGACCATCCTCCGCTTTATCGTACCAGCCAATCAAAGACATTTACTGCCATTCACAGCAGACTGTCTATCAGTGTATCATTAAGTTATTTTGTAATTGCTGGTTTCATTTTTCAACAGTTTCACTCACTGTAAATCAGGCGAGTTGCATCTAAATTAAATCCATCGTTTTCCCCCTACACACACGCTCTAATACATGTCCCTATTGACTCCACGGTGTGAGGAAACTGACCTGTCTGAACAGCACTCTCAACTCACTGTTTTTGCAATTGTGTGTGAAAAAAACCCTGAGAATATGAGGGTGGCGCATACTGTGTGTGTCAGGTGTCTGTGAGCTGTTGCACCAGGTGTGCGTGTGTTTTTGTGTGTAAGCCCCCATAGCTTAATCTCAGTGTCAGTAGCTGTAGCGGCTTGTACTTCTGCCTGGTTTCGACTCCAATTAGCTCATCTGATCCCAAGTCTGTGTTTCGCCTCACTTTCGCTGACATCACCCCCTCCCCTTCCCACTGCATACTTTCCCACAGTTTTTTCCCTGCCTCTCTCGTGCCTGTGCTACTGCCTACAGGGAAACAGGGGTCGCTAACATGATTCACTCAACACAGGAGGAGAGGAGAGGAGAGGAGATAGTAAAGGGGGACCTACCATGCGCTGTAAACTGGAGAGGTGTGTTTCTGGAATAAAGAGAACTGGCTGGGTGATGTGATCATCCAGGCTTTGGAAGAAGGTACAGTCGCTGCTCACTAAAGACTTGTTGGCTGGAGACAAAAGCAGAAGTTAGAATACACTCTCTAAAACAGATGAAATGTCTTTAAGACATGCTTCCTGTTGGCAACACTTACTGTTAGCATCAGGCTTCACCCTCCTTTTGGTTCTCTTCCTCTCCTCATCACGCATCTTCCTCTCAGCACCCTGAGGACACACGATCACATGGTTACAATAATGACTTTGACTCCACAAATGCCAAATGTTGTATTTTTGTGTGTGTGTAAGAAAAGACGCATGAATGGACATGACACAAGCGACATACCTTATCGCAGAAAATCTTGACCTGGCAAGCGGCTCTGTGCAGGAGCTGGTTGGTTCCCGAGCTGAAGTCGTAAGTGTCGATCTGCAGGTTTAGAGGCAGGCCTTTAACTCCCTTCTGAGCCGAGAAGTCTGTGCTTAGGGAGTTGATGCCGATGTAAACCTGTGCGGAAAGGAGCAGGTATTTTAAGTACATCATGTTGTCATCATGTTTTTCACCACTGATATCGTTTGTGCAAGTCATTCTATTGTGTACACAATTAAAAAGAGCCCTCAAACTTGTTTCTCTCTGACGTCCAATTGTTCTTATTTATTTATTCATTAAAGCACAGTCTTGGACCTCTCTATTCTCACATTTTCTGCTGATAATTTCTCTTCTTCCTGCTTTTTTCCCCACCCGCAGCAGGTTTGGTGGCCCCACCCCAGTGCCTTTGGGCCTCAGAGAAGCTCGTAGAAGCCGCCGCGGCTCTCGCCCGCTGTGGTGACAGGAGCCTCAGGGCCAAACACATTTCTGGGATTCCTCTCCTCCCTCCTCAGCCACTCCTTCTCCTACCTTTCGTCTATTTTCTTCTAAATCCTCCACCTGTTCTGTTCCTTCCCTGGCTTTACAGAGCCAGGTTATATAAAACATATTTGCATGCTTCTGTGTGTTTACCTTGGCCTCTTCATTGGGGTTCCAAACAAAGGAGAGAGCGTTGAAGGACAACTCCTCTACATTGCTAATGCCGCTGAAAACTTCTTTGTAGTCTGCTATGAAAGGGGAAAGAAAATACATTTTCAATCTTCTTTACGTGTTAATAGATAAGAGTGATGTGTTGATGCTATTACGCAACATATCACAGAACAGCGAGGGAATCTTTCACTTCCGTGTCCTTGGATGTACATGTCTGTTAACAGGTGTACAGTGATGTTCCAATGCGTATTTTTGTACATGTGATGAACATACCGATGTCAATGACCCTCTGCTTGGCGGTTGGCTGACGTGCGTGCCAGTGATTCCAAAAGCGGAGCTGCATTTCGGGGCTCTTGTCATTCTCAAACACAGCCATCACCACTGTCTGAAGCGGAGAAAGAAAGTTGACAGGAAAGCAGGACAATTAGGTACGTTTGCCAAACTGAGTGGAATTCTTTCACCAGCCTAGATGTCGAAGAATCTCCGTCACGTGTCATTTATCACTCCAAATCCCCCTTTTCTCACCACATTGTCATCAGTTATTTGCAGTAAGCTGGTGTGTGTTTGTGTGTATTCTTATCCTCTGATTCACTTGACAAAGAAAAGGCTTGTCGCCTATGTTTTAAAAACACACCACACCTCCTCCCCCGTCCTCGTCCACTCCTTTTTTTCCCCCACTCTGTTGGGGAGTTGAGCTGAGCTCCGCTGCACTCTGGCCTCATTACACCAGCGTGAGGATAAATTATACAGGGCAGGACACTGTCATTTTTAATGGTGCCACCCCAGTGTGCAGGGTGTCAACAGGGAATTAGTCACAGAGGAGCTGGCTCCAAGGGAGGGACATTTTTTGGGATGGGTTAGCTTGGTGGCACGCAAAGAATTGATATAATCATGTGCCAGTTTAAAAAAAGCCTGAAGGGAAGGATGCCACTAAGAACAACAGTAATAACAGGACAACAACTCTGGAGAATGATTTCAACATTTCTCCTGACAATGTGTCCCAATGACTCACCTTGACTTTAGTGGCAGTGAGGCAGGCACTGCTGTCCACTCCCTGGAGAGTGATGGGGTAGAACTGGCCCTTGTTCAGGTAGACCATGGGCAGCTCACTGGACTTGTAAAAAGAAGCCAAGGGAGCTCCCAGGGAAAACTGGAACTCATTCCTGAATCTCTCTGGTGGAGAGCCGGGGTAGGAGCCTGAGTAGACCGGGCTGGACTGGTCTTCAGGGAAGGGATCGCTATAGGGAAGAGTCTGAAATTCACAAAAAGACATTTGTTAATGAAAGGAAAGAGGGAGAGGCCCGGAGAAATGCAAAATAGAAGACACGGGAAACAGGGCTTAGCTTTTTAACAATGAAGCTAAATTTACCTCGGTGCTATGATCGGGGAAAGAACCGGTCAGCAGGGAATCAAAGATGATGTTAAGCTCCTGCTTGTCGTAAGTGTCTGCCACGACGCTGGTCAGGGTGGCGTATGTGTCTGAGGTGGTGGGAGCAGAGATATGCAGTGAGGCGTGCTGCTGCTTGGATCCCAAAACCTCTTGGGAATGGCTTAAGGGAACACTCTCAGAAAGGATCTTCATGACGTTGGCGGACGCCTCCAATGAAACAAGCTCATTGGTGTTGGTTAGATGCCTGGCCGAGTGAGAAAAAAAGAGATCTCTGTGACTACTCCACTCCACCAAGGTACCAAGAGAGCAAGGAAGCAAACAACCTGTCTAACTGACTAACTGTGTTAAACATGACAGAAGCCTGCAGACAGCCTGTGCAAATATATAACAGTCCGCAAAAGCACACACAGCTACTGCAAGGTGAACTTGCAGAAAGACGCGGTTTAAGTCTGGGTGGGTACTATTTGTCTCTTAATCCATCTTTTTTTCTTCTCTGTGTAGGAATGGAGAGCTCAGTGAAGACAGAGGGAGGCCTGTTGTGAAACTCTTTAAGCAAAACACGATGATAGAGAGAGGATAGATGGATGGAAGGACTGGAGAGGTAGACAATGATCCCCCTGACTATGTTTGAGTTGGGGATTACCCACTCATGTGTATGGCCTCCCAAAGCCCTGCCTTTCTTTTTCTGTTTTAACACTCTCTCTCTAATGCATTTTATTCACAGGGGATGGAGACAACCTTTATTTTGAATCATGCAGATTTTCTTAAAATTATAGATTTTGAAGATTATTTTTTAATCTACATGTTTTGGGTGATTTTGCTATTAATTTCATCGGCACTGTCCTTGGTTAAAAAAAAATTAAATAAAAAAATAAAAAAATAAAAAAATAAAAAAAGAGTGTAACATATTATGATGAAAACTCATTTATTTATATAAAAACATGTAAAGGATTTTACAACAGCAACAGTTTGGTAAATGTGTGTCTTACCTTTCTGTTTTGCAGATGTTGCCAATACGGTTGCCGTTCTTCTGATCTTTCTGGTTCTGGAAAATTAAAAAGATTTAATTTTTTAAGTGATCGGAGGTAGAAAGTTAGAATTAATCTTGGGGTTAACATCGAGTTAAAGTTTTCATTACTACTAATTCCACTTGTATACCTTGCACTGTTCATACAGCATGGTTAAGGCTGCCAGGTCGTCTCCTGGGTGGAGTCTGGATTTGGGGGGGTTCTGCTCGAGGATAGGGCTCTCCAGGTAGGACCAGGAGTCCATGTTGTAGTTATTGTAACGGTTATAGTTGAAGTTCTCGCTCTGAAAGACCAGGCCCAGAGTCCTGCAGAGTGGAGAAAAGAGTTGACAGTGATTGATTAGATTGACGACTCAAAATATACTGTAAACAGAAGAAAACATGTATAATTATCAAGTGGTCAAAAAGGAAAATAAATATATTCAAGTAATTTAAATGCTTATTTGACACAGACAGAGCGAGGGTACGTTTAACAGCAGTACCTGAGCCGCAGGATGCTGCACAAACTTGCCTCTGAGCATGGACGGTTTCGATTGCAAAACCACAAAGCTGAGTAACATCCCTCAAAAGCAATGGTGTCAAAAAGACTTAAGAAAGCCAAGGGCCACCCACTAACACACACACACACACACACGCACACACACACACACACACACACACACACACCTTGTGTTTTGTGGTTTCTGGAGTTGCGAAAGGACCAAAAACGACATTGTTGAATCTTATATAAACTCTATTAAAACTTAAAAGAGAACTCCAATAAAACTTAAAAGAGATGACAAGATTTTCTTACAAAGTAAATGGATCGCCACATGCGGAGAGTTCTGGCTTTCCATACCACTTGTAGAAAAAAAAAAATAGGGTGGGGGGGTTGTTCAGAGGCTTGAATTTGTTTGGAAAGACTCACGTTGACATTGGATTTTAAATATCCTGCCTACCAGAAAAATCCCCGTTTGGAGTTTACCTGAAGTAGCTAATGAACAAATAGCTGCAGTTTACTCTGGATAAACAGCTAATTAAATGTGCTGACAGGAGGAAAAGACCACAGTTGTTCCCAACCACAACAGAACCACAGCTTAGGGAGAAATCCAGGGATTTCTCACAAGGATTAATGAAAGAGTACTGCATTCAAACGCCCACACCTGGAATACAAGACATTCTGTATTTGCATATCGAATACTGTGCATTATAACACCAGATTATAGCTTTTGTTTATGTCTGTTTCCTTGATATTTCAGCTACATCACAAATACTAAAACTAACCTCATACACCTGCTCTAAGGTGCACCTGTCTCTCCTTCTCACACCGAGCAGCCTCAATAAACACCACACAACCCATTGCTTATTCTCCATTTTACCCTAACAACCAGCTGAGTGCAGATGTTTTTTACACAGACACAGAGGGGGGGGGGGCTCGTGTCTAGGGTTTCGCCATTATGTAATTCAATGCATTACATGCTGTCATTGCCTTCTGTCTGTGTCCAACACCTCAAGAGGAGATTCTTATTTCCCGGTCTCCTTTTGTGCTCTGTGGCCCCTAGGTTAGTAACAATGCAAGCCGAAACAGACCCACTACCACCACAGACCAAATTGTGTGTGTGTGTGTGTGCGCGTGTGTGTTAAAACTATCCATATCAATTTCTCCTGCAAAACACCCCTTTCTTAAAACAGGGATCTTTCACATGGGGGTCTCATTGCAAATAGGAAGAAGGGGGGTTTCTGTCCCCCAGACAAAAAAAAAAAACATCACTAAGTTTAAATCAAAATGTTTTTCATTTTGTGGACAAAAAGCACACTTTGGAAAAATTAAATCCTGATAAAGCACTCATTTTATGATATGAAAAAGTATGCTCACAGAACTTACTCAGTCTCTTTGGTCATTTCTCCAATCCAAGTCAGCCGGAATAGGTTCCTTTAATTTCACAGTTCGCAGTTTGTTTGAGCTTCTCTCTTCTGAGTCAGTGAGTGTATCAGTCTAGCAGAGGAGATCAGTGACACACAGATGAGTCAAGTGTTGTGATTCCCTCTGAGCCGGGCCCAGATTTATTTCATGCCAGCAGTGAGTTTCCCTCTCTACTCTGATTGGCTGAGAGGAGTGAAACAGGTGTCTGATAGGACAGGTGTAGGATTATTAACTCTTCACAGGCTGGAGAGAAACTGGCTTGCATGTGTATGAGTGTGTTCAGCCAAGGGGGCGCTTTGCAAGACAATCCAAGGCAGGAGGGTTTTGAATCTCATTGTGCTAGTGAATAAAAGAGTGAGATTGGGGATCCCAGAGGTGTGATATGTTTAGTAATGACTATGAGAAAAGCCTGGAACTCAGCTTTAACATGTTAATAGTTTTTCAGTATCATTTTTCACTCTCCCCCTTTATTTCCATAACACAGGCTTTGGTTTCTTCATTTTCTTGGGATCAAAGATGCTAGAAAAAAATGCTGTGCATTAAGACAGAAAAGATTGCATTTAAACACAAAAAAAAATGAACATTGAAATTTTTCTTAAATTCAGAATTGCAGCTAATGTCTGTATTGGGTGCACATGTAAATATATGTGGATTTTCTGTCTATTTTCTTTGTTGTTATACCACTGTGTTGCATATGTTTATTTTATTTTTGATGCCTCACTCTTCTTTTTTTCATTTTAAATGTAAAGCACATTGTGCGTCTTTGAAATGAAATGTACTTATTATAATTGACGCTGCCTTGCTTGTCAATTTGCATTGAGAACTTTCCCTTTTTAATCAATACATTTGAGTTTACACAATAACTCAACTCAATAACCCTAACCCTTACTCCTTAATTCTAGTATTTAAAAAAAACATCGAATATATTGTTAAATAAATCATTGAAAGTTTTTTTTAAGAATTTTACTTTATTACCTACTTAAAAACTGTTTTAATTTACCTCCTATGCTTAAATAAAAGTAGCAATTCCACAATTTAAAAAAAATCCTCCATTATAGTAAAAGTCCTGCATTCTTAATGATACTTAATTAAAGGTACTTAAGTTTTATTTTAGAGGTTTATACTATTATATATATACTATATTACTGGGTTTATTATTGTTATTGATGCGTACAGTACATTACAGTACAGTTTTTACAGTATAGCTACTTTACATGGTGTTAGCAATTTTGATCTATTAAAATAATTTGATAAAATGATCAGTGAAGTAACAAATGTGGTGGAGTTAAACGTACAATATTTATTTAATAATTCAGAGACAAGCCTTGGGAAATGAATGGAGACGGATTTGATGAGGTTGATTACAAACTGTGTAGATCATGACTTCAAGATGTGTTCACTTTTACAATGATTTCACAGCAAAACACACACACACACACACACACACACACACACACACACGCACACACACACACACTCTAGCAAGCAAAGTCAAAGCTCACATCTCGTTCTATCAGTGATCCAAAAGCAGTGGGGGCTTGTAAGGTCTTCATGTTAGTCAGGTGTATTATCTTCCACCCACACACTGCACACTTACGCAAACACACAAAAAGAAAGTAATGTGCATGTGTATAATTGCATGTGACTGTTTATCTGTTCATTTGTGTGTGTGTGCATGTGTGTGTGTGTGTGTGTGTGTGTGTGTGTGTGTGAGCACTTGTTGGGACTAGCACCTGAGGGAATCTGGCGTGGCAACACACAAGAGTGCGTGCTGTGCAGCTTGCCCACACACTCACCCACACCCTCATAAATATAACACACACATAGACACAAAGCCCTACAGGGCAAGTTGGCATCGAATCAAGTGAGTTAGGAGAAAGAAGCAAGACTTTCTGTGTACGGTTGGCGCACCTTCATTACTCAACTCCATATGTCCTGAAGTATACTGTATACACAATTAAAATTCATTGAAATTAATTAAAGCCCCATCTCTGTCTACTGCACTATCTAAATGTAGTTGAATAAAATATCATATCCCAAATATTGTAAGACATAGTGTATAGACTGTAGAACCATAAGTTCTTAAAGAGAGAGAGGAGAAGGGAACAGAGGATGGATGTAACATGGACGTGGGTCAACGCCACTTTCACTTTTCATCAGCCCGTTGACGGTGTGAACGGTTTCTCTCACCTGTGGTTTCTTTCTCTCTCACCCCATCTTATTTTTCTGTCCCTCATTAGTGCTCTGTGATTAACATATCAAGCTGTTAAACCCTTTTATTCTCACTTCAGTCTCTTTATTTCTCTCTCTGCACTTCAACCGCAGGAAAAATCAAAGAAGGCCCCGATGAACACAAATAACCAGGCATTCTGAAACAAATGCTACTTTATTGTTAGACAAATAAACTGCCCTAAAATTTGCAATGAAGTTCAAGCAGCAACTGCTAAATTCTTAACTGTTAACATGGGCAGCGAGTTCTTAATTTATGTTCTCACGGGAAAACCTGAAAAAGATAATAATTATCAATCATCATGAATGTGACCTTTAGTTGGGATTGTAAAAAATGTAAAATGAAAGTGTAATCACCAGATAATTTCTTAAGAATTCAAAAGTGTCCTGAATGTTATTATGTAATTTGGTACTAATTATAAGGAAAGCGGAGACACTGTTTGATCAGTCAACTTCCAATTAATTGCTGTACATTATTCTGTATATTGTTAGTTTAAAATCACTAGAGCACAGCAGGTCAACTGAACATGAAAAAAAGAACACATTCTACATATATGGAAAATAAAGATAATGATAATAAATGAACAATATATAAATATTTGCTTTGATTTAAATGGAGCAGTTCTTTCAATGAAGGGACTATTTTTTTTCTTTCAGGAAAATTCTAAGGAAATTATCAGGAAGTTATGAACCAGTAAAACCAAATGTGGTTTGTGTCTGAGCTTGCAGAACACAAACCCATGCTGACAATAAGAGGACATGGTTTCCTTTTATATTACCATATGATATGTTTTAATGTTTTATCTCTGCAGGAAAATTAGAAAGGTAAGCTTGCAACAAGGAAGTCAAGTTTTGTCAAGTTTTGTCTTTGCTACTACACACAGAGTCCCTTTAAGGAGAGAAAATGCACCTTTACACAAACACTAACACGCCTGTGTAAAGATCTATTAAACTTATCTTAAAAGTCTTCTCTTCAGTGTTGAAACTTTCATGTCTGATTGTGTAAAAGTGTTAATGGCCCCGTAGAGATCTCGGGCCAAATCCAACGGCGGGAACGATGGGGAAGCGTAAGATTGATGGATGTCACAACGACTTCCTTTCAATGCCTTGAAACTCACCCATCGGAGTAGGAAACCATGACCCAAGTGTCCTTGTGCTTTGGTCTGTTGTGTGACTGTGTGCATGTGCATGTGAGCGCATAGCCATGCATGGTCGCACACAAACAGAGATCAGCGATGGCTCTACGCACGACTGCTGCCGAAAAGGAGCTCTCTCATCACCCCTCTCCTCCCACTATACCTCTCTTTCTCTTTTTCCTGTCTACCATCGACTCTTCCTTTCACCTAGCCTACTTTTCCTGCTCGTCCTTTCCCCTATGACTGTTTGACCACTAAATCCTATCCTGCTCTTACTGCTTGAGAACATTTCCATCATGACTCCAAATATAAAGATAATGCAAATTATTCTCTAAAACCACAATAAATGAGTTGCTTTTGGTGAAGAAGATAAAGTAAATGGATGTGGATTATTTTCTCTATTTTTTTCCAACCTCCTTCACAGCACACATATCTCTCCATCTCACTCTTTACCTCTCCAACTGCTTTAATGCCTGGTTTGTCATGGAGGAATGTGTGCTGAGGTTTGACAGTGATATGAGGAGCCCGGGGCATGTTTCTCTCTATCTGCTCCTCACATTGACGAGTGATGCACCTGTTAACGTAAAGCCCTGACATGTTTACCATAACTGCAATGCAAAATAACGCCACTTCCTTCTCAACTACTTTCATTTTCCACCCATGCTCTGTGAAACATGAAGAAATGTAGGCAATCTTCAATGTGGTTTTAAAGAAAAATGTAGGATCCAAGATTTCCAAGCATCTCTGACAACAGTCAAAATTTTGCAAGCTTACAACACTGAGTATTGCTTCTATATGTGTCTTAGTACAAATGCTAAAAAATTGAAAATCATTAAATTATTGAACATTTAAATGCATTTTGTTTGTCGTTTTACATGACAGTTAAGCTGCCTTAGCAATTGTGCTTTCTAAAATGGAGTTTTTTTTTTTGTTTTCGTGCCAGATATACATTTTCTATAATTAGTATCATGGTAAACATTGGCATTACTGTGAAATCGCATTTGGCATTTACAGAAGTGAGTTATAAACTAAATCTAGAGTGTATCTGAACATTTTCAGAACATTTGTTGTCGGGAAAGCAGTTTCAAGGAGGAAGTGGATTTAATTACAGCTCTGACACAAGCGCACATGGGGCGGATTGGAAAAGTATTTGTGTTGTTATGTCTGTATACTTGTGGATCATGTATGCATTTGTGAAACTGTAGATCTGGTATAAATTAAATAAAGTTTTCTAAAAAAAAGAAAAAGTATTATGCTTCTATTTCTATTCAACAAGAACCACAATTTATGATTTCAGAATATCTGTCAACACCAGTAACTCCTCAGTATTGAACTAGATATCAACTAAAGTTATTATTTTGCAGCTGTTTTAAGAGTCAAACACTAATTCTGGAGCATTACACATTAATGTAATTGTCTATGAGATTTTTTTATTTTTAGTACTTTAAGTACATGCTGCTGCTAAAACTTGTCTATTTTTAATTTAGTACAATTTTGAATGCAGCAGCATTTTTACATCGTTATATGGCCACTTTTACTAAAGTAACGATCTAAATATTTCTTTCATTGCTGTCAACAGCGTTAATCATGTGGCTGTCATTGCTGCGATGCTGTTTGGTATCATATAGATTCAGCCACGTACTGATAACAAGGCCTAGTGTCCATGCTGATGGGGCTTTGAGCATGACAGGCTCTGGTGTGCTAAACCAAAGTTAATTGCTGCAGGAACAATCTT